GATGCTGGCCGTGCCGCTGAGCTGCTCTACCAGTACCTTCAGATACTGGGCATCCGCCTTAACACACAGGCTGGAAAGACGGAAGCTATAGTAGTATGGCACGGTTCTGGGAGCCATGCCGCGAGGAAGCAAGTTCTCATTGGGCAGGGGGCGACAGTCGCACTCAATGTTCCCACAGGTGAGGCGCTTCACCTCCGCTGTGTTGATGAGTATACGCATCTTGGTGTGCGCCGTGCCACGGATGGCGGTTGCATTGCAGCCGTTGAACACAGGTACAAGGAGGCCCGCAGCGTCTACAGGGCAGTGCGTAGCAGGCTTCTCACCAACACGTGCCTGACACTGCTCGAGCGACAACAGCTCTTTTCATCCCTCATTCTGGGACGTTTTCTTCATGGCCTGGGGACCTGGCTCCCGCGCACACAGGCGGCCGCGTGCTGCTTTGAGACGCGCTACATGGAACTGCTTCGTGGGGCCGTGCGTCCGCTCCACAACGTCCCCTGCTTGAGGCTGACTCAGTTCGAGGTATGTGCGTTGATGTCCGTCCCCACGCCATCCGAAGCAGCAGCCATTGCCCGTGTCAGGGTTCTGTCGGGAGTGGCTAGCCATGGCAGCCCTTTTGTTCGTGCGCAATGCGCCAGCGACCCAGGCTGGTTTAAGCTCCTGCGCGCCGACCTCCATGCTGTCTTGTCGGCTGTTCCGCATGAGGGTATTTGCAGCTTCCTCAGTGTGTCCACTTCTCAAGGGTGGTTCAACGTCGGAGATTGGCCGTTGGACAGCTCCGCTACCAAGGCTTACTTGCGACGGGTGCGACGGCAATGCCTCTCGGCGCGTGCCTCCCTTGTCGAAACGGCACTGGCTAAGGCTAAGGCGCATGAACGCCTGAAAGAATGCGGACTTGTTTACTACAGGGACCTTAAAGCTCCACCAGCCGAGCGGCTTTTTCAGTGCCAAGAGTGTGGACAGTCTTTCGAAACGAAGGCTGCAGCCGCGTCTCATAGGTCCAAGATGCATGGGTGCACTTCCGATGCCTTCCAGGCGTTTGGAACAGCGTGCGAAGTCTGCCGTAAGCAGTTCTGGAGCACACGCCGTCTTGCTCAGCACTTCCGTGGCTCTCCGGCTTGTGCTTCCACTTACCGGGAATCGGATCTAAACCGTCTTCCGGCCGAGCAGGCTGCCGGCAATAATGTACCATGCACCCAGCTGATCGGGCCGCAACCGTGGTGGGCGACGCAAGCCCACCCACCACAGGGCCCCTTGGTCCCATCTCCCACTGCCAATGATCCACTGGTTGACATCTGCAGGCTCACTGCCCAGACCCAGTTGCCGCTTTTCTTTAAACTCCTGGCAGGTTCGGTTGAGGTACACGGACGGGCGACGGTCCTCGATGCCTTGCATCGTGTACAGGGCGACAAGTACTGGCGTCTCGCAGTCAAGGTCGCTGAGGTTTTGGACACCACGACTCCTTTTTTCTTTCAGGAACAGGACGTGGCTGTCGCTTTTCAGGCAGGTGCCCTTTTAATCGGCCCTGCCTCCGCAGCACGGCATGCCTTTGAGCATGACTGGGGCTTTCTGTAAGCATGCCTTTTGAATTCATGTGTGCGTCGACTCGACTCAAGCCCCGCCGCCAAAAAACCCTAAACCCTAAACCCTAAACCCTATTGGTGTGTATGGCTTCGCTCCTTCGGTCCTTCGGGTCTAAGGGTTGGCGCCTTTCCATGGCGCCTACCGAGCTGTTTAGGGTTTAGGGTTTAGGGTTTAGGGGTTTAGGGTTTAGGGTTTAGGGTTTAGGGTTTAGGGTTTAGGGTTTAGGGTCTGGGGTTTAGGGGCTTAGCACGGCGTGTCGGGTCCAGCACCGTAGATCAGGGCTGACGCCGTGAGGCTTGTGGTGTCTTCTTTAAGAGATGGAGGGCAGTAAATAGACTATAGCCTGTAGTTGGCTCCCCTACCGATTCTAAAATTGCCAGTTCAGCCGAGGGTAGGGTTTAGAGATTGGGTTTCGAGGTTTACGGTAGACTAATACGGCTGGAAGCTTGATATGCTGGGTTTTGGCTTCAGAACGAAGAGAACGCAACGCAGGTCTCCCTTTAGGCAACGGGGTCATGGATAGAGATGACTCCCGGCAGTCGACCTCCTGGCCCGACAGGAACCCCTTAAGGGTTCCTTTAAGGCTTCCGTGGGGTTACTTTAAGGGTTTCTGGCTTCTTTCAGGGATCCTTTAAGCTTTTTGGGCTTGAAGGGGTCCTTGACAGAAATTGCTGGGAAATTCTAAAACCAAAACCTCAACTAAACTTAAACACACGAATATCACGAAACCCTAAACCCCTGAACTCTAATCGGTTCCCGAGTAGCTCTGTTAAAACAGGACTAATTGTTCCTACTATCAAAAAGCAGAACTCTAGATCAAACAACATACAATACTAAACATAGCACTACTTAAAACACCGCAATTTCATGATGGTAAACGCCGGCAGCCCTGACAAACCAACAAAAAATGGCACCAAAAACAAACCCGTAAACCCCTGAGCCCTACAAACCCTGAACCAGGGAACTCTCGGAGACAGCCTCTCGGTAGCACTTCTTCGTCGAGAGCTCCAGAAGAGGCGTGATGCCATCGAAGAGAATCTCCGCAAAAGGGCAGAGCTCCCCGAGGCGTTTGGGGTTTAGGGTTTAGGGGTACGTATGCTGACAGTTGTAACAGCTATCTGAAATTCAATTAAGCCAATTATCCGAAACAACAAACAATCATTGCAAACCTGCTGCTTGGACAGGTTCAATATGCTTTCTGTTGGGGACTAGTGTCGCGGGTATACAGGATACCAAGTCGACGTGAAGATATCACCCAAGAACCCAGGTCTGAACTGCAGAAGGCATCAGAGTTGATGATCCCAACCCGCAAAAAGACCTGCATGATGCCTAATGTAGGGGCATAAACAATTACCAATACTATTTTTTTTGGGGGGGTGCTTGTTATGACTATAATAATATACCCCAAACCTTATTCTAATTATTCAGGCCCCTGTATTAGGTGCATCTGTTCAGGATCAGGACCCGAACCGCGACCACTTGTGGTCAAAGTCGGGCTCTTGTCGGTGAGTAATTTAGGGTTCGGGTTCAGGGTTCAGGCTTTAGGGTTCAAGGCTCAGGGCTTAGGGTTCAGGGTTTAGGGCCTAAGGTTTTTTGCTCAAGCGCTTTGGGTGTTGGGTTTTCTGCTTAGCATTTAAGGTTTGGCATATATATATATATAATGGTGTACGTACAGCTCTATCTATTAAAGGCCCGACAATTCTGAAACTCCCAGATCCTGACATGAATGGAAGAAGTCAGGCTTTAGCGTGCAGGTTTGCCTGTCGCTGTTGATGACAGTATATACTCATGTTCCCCCCCCAGCACCGGGCTCTGAACCGGTTGGACGAAAGAGCAAGTTTAAGGAACAATACCCGCAGCAGCACTTAATGAGCCTAAACCCTAAAGCCTAAAACCCTATAAACCCTCTAACTGCTACAGCAACCGAACCCGACACCTCAAACCTCAGATCCGCTTATTCAAGCTTCAGGGCTTCGACTTGAATAAGGGCTCGGGATTCTTGTGAAGAATACCACTTCAAGCCCAAAGGATCCAAAGTACTGATATAGTAGAATGTAGGCTTTCTATTTTAGGAATGACTATCATGATTTAAGGAAGTATCCCCCATAACAGTACATAGGACCCTTCTGGATGTTACCACAACAGGGATCGACATGAGGAGGCCTCCCTGAACGACCGAGCCCGGAGGGCCCTAAAGCCCAAAGCCCTCTGGCACCTCAGGATCTCTACACATCGGAGAAGAAGGATGAGGGGTTTGGGGTTCTAGGGTTTAGGGTTCCAGGGTTTGTATAGGGGTTTAAGGTTTAGGGTTTAGGGTTTAGGATTTAGGTTTTAGGGTATAGGGGTGACACAGGGTGTAGGATTTTATGGCGTACTGTTTATATGGCTTAGCCTTAGCATGCACGGTTTAAACAGGGTCATTGGAAACTCTCCCTGCTTCAAACCCTTTTATCCTAAGCCCTTATAATTATATAGAGGCCTCTTAAAAGGAACCCTTTAAAGGGAACCTGGTTCTGACCTATGAATCCTACGCCCTTATAGAAGCCCCTTACCCTAAACCCTTAGCCCTAAACCCCTAAACCCTTCAAAGGGAACCTTGTTCTGAAATATGAATGGTGCCTTGCCATGGCGCAGCCGCATCGCACCCTCACCGCCTCGGTCCGGGCGCTGGACCCGAGAATGTTCATTTTTTCTACGCCGAAACCCTGCTTAACGCAGGGGCCATTAATAATTAGAACAGAGTGTTGGGGCATACTATGCTATAATTAGAACAAGGAGCCCCAAAAAATAGCTTTGGTAATTATGTGGGCCCCTGTATTACTACACCCTTGACGGTCCCCGACGGTCAATCGTTGGTCCTAGGCCACACATTCTCCAGTGCCACACTCCAGACCCTGGACACCTTAAATCATCCTTGAACCCTCAAGCCTATCTCTGGTCATAGTCCCTGAACCCTTGCACGTGCACCGTCCCTTAGCAATCCCAGAGTCACCTGAACATATCAAAGCGCTCTAAACCCAAAACCCTAACCCCTAAACCCTAAACCCCTAAACCCTAAATCCCTAAACCCTAAACCCTAAACCCAAAACCCAAAACCCCAAAACGCTAGAAACCCTCAACCTTAGACCCCGAGCCCAGAAGGCACACTGAGGTCGGATCGGACAAGCAGGATAGCTCTTGGCCTTGGAAGTTGCATAGGAGTCTGACGCCAAGCTGACGCTATAACTGATAGGGTCTAGGGCCCCTATGGACCCTAAGGGTTTAGGAGTTTAGGGTTTA